AGGAGGAGGAAGGAGCTAAGGAGGAGGAGGAGGAAGGAGCTAAGGAGGAGGAGGAGGAAGGAGCTGAGGAGGAGGAGTAGGAGGAGGTGGAGGGGAGAACGAAAAACGGCACACGACAGGGATGTAGAAAGGAAAGACGTGAAGTTATATGAGTAGGAAGTGGTCAAGAAGAAAGAAGCGGAAAGGACCTTGATAGTCAGGTTTGCAGTTGCGTTCATCGTCTCAATGGCCTGCAGTCGTTGTTGCAGATTCTCTTTTTCCGCTTTCCTGTTCGTGTTCTTGTCAGAAGCTGAGGTGATATCTGATTCTTTCCCTCCATTCTCACTCACAGCTTTTCAATGTCTGCAGTCATTCCTGAGATGGTAGCTCCCTGCTTTGAGATCTGCCGAAATGAATTGAACAACAAATTTCCTCTCCTCCTCCTCACTCTCTCCTCCTCCTCACAACTCATCGCAACGTTCCTCCTCCACTTCCAGTTGCCTCCTCCTCAAACTGTCATGGTTTTCACCTTTGTCGCCCACAGCAAGGACGTGAACCGTCTTTGCGTATCCCGCAAGTGGTCGAACTTGTTGAGCTGAGCAACGCGAGCTTGAAAGATGTCCACCTCGTCCCTCAGCGCTTTCACTTCATCCGCCTGCTCCTGCGCGAGCTGACTTGCCGTCAGGAGGAGAAAACGGACGGAGAGGAGGGAGGAAGATTAGAAGAGGACTGACTGCATATCTGTGAAAGAGGATGAAAGAATGATCGAAGAAGGAGGGCAGGTTGGGAACGGCAGGAGAGAGGGAAGAAGGAGAAAGGATCAATGCGGAGGAAAGAAGAGGAGGGAGGAGGGAGGAGGGAGGAGGGAGGAGGGAGGTGGGAGGTGGGAGGTGGGAGGTGGGAGGTGGAAGGAGGAAGGAAGAGGTAGGGATGGATTTAGTCACCCGGGTGAGATCGTCTCTTTGCTTTCGGATCAGCTTCACGTCTTTGCTCAGATCCTCATTCTTGAGTTTTCGAGTCACAAAAACCAAAAAGAAACAGAGCCATGAACAGGCAAGTTGAACGTTCAGACAAGGAGGGAGGAAGAACAAGGAAGGAGTTTGGAGGAGGAAGCTGACGGAGGGAGGTTGGAATGAGAGCAAGAGCAGTAGCAGACATTTGAGTTGGAGCAGGATTAAGAGCAGGTTTGAGAGGAGGAAGAAGAATGTGAAGACGAAAGGTGGAGGTATTGACTCGTTTCCACATGACAGTAGAAAATTGTCCTCGGTTCCAACACATACCACAGACTGCAAGTCTTCGCATCTTTGACGAAATATTTCGAGTTCATAGCACTGAACAAGCAAAACAGTCAGTATTCCTTGCTTCATCAATCCCTGCCTCCTCATCTTCTTCCTCCTCTTCTCTCCCACCCTCCATTCTTCTCATCCTCCTCCTCCTTCCCCTCTCCTCCTCTCCCTTCCTTTCTCCTCCCTCCTCCCTCCTCCCTCCTCCCTCCACCCTCCTCCTCTCTTCGTCAACCTTTTGTGTCATCTTCTCCAGCTGCAGCATCAGCTCATTGTTCTTTCTGACCTCTGCCGTCAACTCGATCTCGCGACTCTGACTCGCAAAACTTAGAGGGAAGCGATGGAGGGAGAAGCGAGGGATGGGAGGCAGGCAAACAGAGTACGTGTTAGGAGAAAGGGAGAGAGACGAAGGAGGGAGGGAGGGAGGGAGGGAGGGAGGGAGGGAGGGAGGGAGGGAGGGAAGGAAGGAGGGAGGAAGGGAGGAAGGGAGGGGAGGAAGGGAGGGGAGGAAGGTAAGAGGGAGGGAGGTAAGAGGGAGGTAAGAGGGAGGTAGGGAAGGAGGGAGGGAGGGCATGCGAGGGTGAAGGGGGAAGAAGACAGGAGAGAGCAGATGGGAAGGACGACGACTGTCAGTCCCCTGCTCACTTGAATGATATTCAACTTGCTGCTCAGCTCAGCTTGTGCTTGAATCATCACTCGCTCTGCCTTGACCGTCTTATCGACCTCGTTCTTACACCTGCAAAGGATTTCTGAGAAGCAAGCTTCTTCCTTCTCAGCTGAGTTCTTACCTGGCGATCAGGATGTCATCCTTCTCAAGAATTGACTGGAGCTCGGACACACTGCCGCGATCTCTCAGCAAGGTGAAGAGGAGAGGAGAGGAGCGATGGATGGATTACATGGGAGTGACTGAGAACAGGTAGTAGAGTCTGTTGTCCTCTTCAGGATCTCTGTCCATTGCCTCGAGAGTTTCAGCATCTTTGTTGGTGTAGACGAATGTTACAAGCTCCTTCACCAATGTTGACATGCAATCTCCTGCCATGCATGGTCACTTCCTGCACAATATTTTCACATGATCACTTCCAACAAAACATCTTCACGCGCATCTCGATGCTCCTCACCGTGAATGTCTTCGTGCACTCTGGCAAAACGGAAGAGAAGATCGACTATCACTGCAAGCTTCACTTTCTCCTTCTCAGCTCTCAGCCTTGCGGTCTCCTTCGCTTCATTCAGCTTCGACAAGGTGAACCTTGAAATCTGAAAGGTACATTTCAATCGTGAAATCTAAAACTCAGTATTCAATCTCTTGTTCTAATCATATCCATCGTCAGCGAAACATTTGCCTCCCACCATGACGTGACGCAGGATTGAATAAAGAGAGCAAACATCAAAGAATAACATCTTGAGCACACTGATCGCAATGTTCACCAGACAATCACACAAGTTTTCATATCAAACAGGTCTCGTGGCTAAAGCCGATGCTTCACCGATTTGAAGTTTGAGAGATCTGTCAGGTAGCCGGTTATCCACTGCTTCTCAGCACTGTTGAGATATCTTGAGCATTCAGGAAGCGGTTTCTTGTCAAGGAAAGAGATCATGTCAGAGATATGAGTGAAGGATGAACTTGCTCTCATCTCACTTCAGCAAACGACAAGGATGTCTTTGATGTTGGGGTTGCAGACATTGGACGACTGGGCAAGTGACTTTTGCTCGGACCTGCTCCACACGTATCATAAGAGGCAGCAACAAAACAATTATCTGCAATGCAGAAAGAAAAGAGACATGAGAAATATCATGCAGCAATATCAACACCAGAGCAAATCAAATGTATTATCATCATCATACAACAGGAAAAACTCACCTGAAATGAGCATGGATTGTGAAGATACAGGAGAAGGGGTTCGCAACAAATCATATCTCATTTCTGAGTGCGACAGGCGCCGGTGGTGCATTTGCGCAAGGATCTCTTGATTGATTCTTTGCTGAAAGGGGACACCAATACGATGTTTCAAGTGCTCAGGTGAGAATCTGTTCATCCACAGTTCGTCCTTGTTCCGAATGCTCCTTGCATCCCTGCTGCGCTGAACTTTCCTCTGCTTCCTTGTCGTCCTTCTCCTCCTCCTCTACGTAACATGCTTGATGTGCTCAACTCAGTGTGAATTACTTGCAGCAAAATTCCTCTTCCTCCTTCCCATCCGGCCCCATCTTGCACTTTGTCCCTCTCCTTATCCTCCGTAGCTCCTTCCTCCTCTCTCCTGTTCTCCTCCTCTCCTCCTCTTCTCCTCTTCTCCTCTCTCCTCTTCTCCTCCTCTCCTCTCTCCTCTCTCCTCTTCTCCTCTTCTCCTCTTCTCCTCCTCTCCTCCTCTCCTCCTCTCCTCCTCTCTCTCTTTCGCTTTCTCTTGCCTTGCTCCCCTACCAACAAGATATCAGCAGATTCAGAGCCGTTGACAACTCTGTTTGACTAGATTTGATAGGGTAGGGGTACCTACCGTGACCCATTTTTGAGTTCATTCTTGACTGTAAAATAGGGGGTAGGGGTAGGAGAAGCAAGGGTGGTGTAAGAGACTCTTCCCGGACAGGAGTAAAGGATGTGTGTATGGGGGGGAAAGAAAAACATCAAGAGGATAGGAGGGAGACAGGGAGGAAGAGGTAGGGAGGTAGGGAGGCAGGGAGGAGAGGGAGGAGAGGGAGGGAGGGAGAGGAGGGAGAAGAGGAACAGTGATCAGAAAGAGGAGAGGAGGAAGAGAGGATGAAGAGCACAAAGTAGCAGAAGCGATGTCTCATGCCAAAAGAAGGAGCTCAGCACGTTAGGGCAAGTGGATCATATTATGATGGAATGTATGATATAGAGGAGATCGTTTGCTACCTGGGAGCATGGCAGTGACTTGTCTAATGCAGGAAGCGATGGAGGGAGTGGAGGAATAGTTGGAACAACAAATAGGCATCAGCTCGTTTCAGTTCAGGAGGAGGAAGGGATGGTAGACGCCAGTCGATCCTTCAGCGCTTCGGAAGAACTCAAGGGGCGGAGGCTGAGGAGCGCAGACATCGTCGGGATGATTAGGAGGGAACGACAGACGAGGAAACGGGCTCAGTCACAGCTAGTCAGTCTCCGATCCTCCCTTGCATTTACTCCCGCAGGATCTCTCTGGGAGGAGGGTGGGGCAGGAGAAGGAGAAGGAGAAGGGAGAGAACGAGGAGGAGAAGACAAACCGAAACTCTATCGTAAGCCTTCCCTCCTCTCCTCTTCCTCCTCTCGCGCGCAGCGAAAGAGTTTCCCTGACTTGAGCGCGGCTCGTAACGAGAGCATCGATTTGCTTGCTGGGAGACTTTCCATGGAGGAGCCGTTCTGGAACCGGAGGAGTGCCATGCTCTCCATACGCGCAGGGGCTAGCTCCAGGAGTTCAGGAGACTTGCAACCTGGAGCACCGACAAGAAGTGGAGGAGGAAGTGCGGGTGCTGGTGCTGGTGCTGGTGCTGGTGGAGGAGGATCGAGGGCGTTCACGAGTTCCAGCACAAGGCTGCAAGCGGCGAGCGCAGAAGAATGGAACCAAGTGTGTCAGGTGAGGACGAGGAGATCAGGATGAGCAGGACGACGAGGACGAGGGAGAGGCGAACGAGGAGGACGAGGATGAGGAGGAGACAAGGAGGGAGGAGGGGGGAACACGTTGGGAATGAAAGCGAACAGGAGGATGGAGAGGAGGAGAGGGGAATTGACTCATGGGAACAGAACATGCTCCTGAATGTCGTGAATGCTCGAGACACGAATAGGAGAGAAGGAAGAAGTGCAAGGAGACTAACAGATATCACAGCTGTAACATCCATCATCATACTCTCCTACATTCTTGATCCCCTTTCCTTTCGTTTTCATCCTTGTGTTCATCCACTGCCCTCCTCCTCTCTATCTCTGTCTCTGTTTCTGTTTCTCTCATGCACTTCATCCTCCTCAAACCTCTTTGCTCCTCTTTAATCGTCCAAGATGCTTCGTCTACTCACTTTTTATGCAGGAGAAACCAAGTTCCTCTGTTCTGCGACAATATCTTCCCAAGTACACCAAGATGTTCAACTTGTAATGAACTTGGAAAATCAGATGCGACGACCATGTCAAATGAGATGAAGAAGGAAAGCTGGGTATGGCTTGTGTGGTAGAATAACTAGGATGAATGGTTAAATGATAAGTGATAAGTTTAAGTGTTAAGATAGCGAGATTTGAGAAGAGGAGATTCAAGGCTTGTTAACAGTGTGCAAAGTAATGAATATGATCATGATATCAAACATATCAAACAGGAGGAGAAGCGGTGAACAAGGGGATACAACCTCTCACACCAACTCTTCCTGGTGTGTTGTCAGATTATCACAGGCTGGACTTCAGCTGGAGTCGGCTGATTTTCCCGCCCAGCAGCGGGAGCAACTGCTCCTCCTTGTCAAAGATGCCGAACCTTGACAACTGCTTGTCAAACTCTCCCAGCTGTCAAACTCTCCCCCCAAAACGACTCACATGCCCCCGGTATGCAGGAAGAGAACATCCTTGCCCAGCAGCAGCTCAGGAGTGCGCATGAGACCGTGGAGGCCGCAAAGTGCCTTACCACTGAAAGATGGCCAGTGCAAAATCAGAGGGCGAGGAGAACAAGGAGGAGAAGGAGGAGGATGAAAAGG